AAGATAAATCTGGTATGCTGTGAATAGTCATACTATTCAACAGCTTAATTTGGTTATATAAATTAGTTATAGTATTTAAAGTGGTGTTAAGTGTTTTAGTATTTAAAGTATGTTATAATAAAATATCTATAAAGCTGTATAGCAATTGATTGAAAGAACAAATTGTCCAGTGGAGATAAGAACTGATTTGATAACATTGGTAACAGGTAGGTGAGTGTGAGTAATATCATTTGTGTAAAATGTGTGAAGTAGAAAGATCATTTAGTAGAATTTTGATTCTAAAGGATTTAAAAGTAGAGGACTAAAAGCTGTATGAGAAGTTTGAGATTTTTTAATTATTATTAATATATAGCCAGGTAGCTTGCCAATTAACTTGGTTAAAGATTTTGTATCATTTTTGAAAGCAGTTTTGTGTAATCTATAATGCATAAATATGTGCATGACATATTGTATAAATACTGTAATAGATAGGTAGTTCTAAGGAAAAGTTTTTGAAATTTAAAGTATATGCAGCGTTTTAAATATTATAGGGCATAAAGATAAGATATGACAGATTGTAGTGACTGTGTATGAGTTGGTCTACAAGATTATTATACTGATTGTCCTGATAAGCAATAACTTTGTAAAAAATAATATGAATATTGTATAATTTAATAAAGTTAATAAGTGTATTTCATAATGAAAAGTATAGTGTTTGTATATAGAGTAGAATATGAGTTGAGTTTAAAAGACTGTGATATTTAGAGATTACAGACTGTGAATCAGTATATATGTATATAGTACAATTTCTAGAAACAGTAATAAGGGCTGTTAAGATAGCAGTAAGCTCAGCTTTAAATAAGCAAGGCCAGTATCTTGTTTAGGCTTAAAAGGTATGCAGTATATTGTTGTTTAAAATTTGGGTCTATCTGATGCCCATAGAGCATTGTGAGGTATCCAAATTGATAACAGAGCCATCTGTATAAAAATAAAGTTCTGATAGTTGTGCATTGTAGTTGGCAATTTGTTGAAAGTTGTCTGTTAAAGTACTGGATTCAAATATTATTGGAATTAAGTATGTTGTAATATTAATATTAGAGAGTTTAGGAATTTGAGTAGGATGTTGAATTGCAATGAAGTACATAAGATCAAGGTGGTTGGCATTGAAGTTAAGAGTTTTATTATATGTATTGATTCAACCAAAGAATCTAGAAAAGAGATTGATAGGAATATTGATTGTGCATTTGTTGGCAATTGTGTAGGGTGTGAGGAACAGGTAGTTTATCTAAGAGAATTTTAATACGAAAGGTTTTTAAAGTAGAGGAATGAAAACTGTGAGCAAAGTTGGAAATTTTTTGATTGTTATTAATGTAAAGCCAAGTGGCTTTTTAGTTAATATTAGATGCAATAATAGACCATTGTTGAAAATGATGTTGGAAGGTCCAAAGTGTTATAATATAAGCTTGGCAAATAGTATGAATAGAGCAATGAATAGGAATTTCAATAAACATACACAGCTCACCCCCAGGAAATTTTCTCCTCATGTGATGATTATCCCAATTTTTTTCATTTTCATGTAACATCTTTGCCTTTTTTCTGTTATAGGACGACTTTCATCTGATTGGCTGATGTAAATCAATTGCCCAGATAACTTATTTATACACTTTAAAGTACTTTTTGGGAACGTAACATTTCACAAACAAAAAAATCACTGTAAAGTCAAATTCTAGCTCTAAACAAACGTAGATATTCACTGTTAAAATTAATCTAAAATAATTTACCTTTCCAAGAACTTCGCTTAGGAGCGAATATTTTTACTATATACTGCTAGCACTAGTTGTATTAATTATATGTAAGTTTTAAATGCCAAAAACGTTCAATAAAAAAAGATCAGGACATTACATGTAAGCTTTAAACTTAGAACTTTGAGTGTACCGTTTGACATGCTATATATTATAATAATAATAATAATAAACTTGTACTAATTTTATTATATATTTTACATTTATAGAGCTATACTAGAGTAGCAAATATAACTTTGGGTTAAATAGTAGATCGATATATTATAAGTGTTATTGTTTCGTTAATTATATAGAATAAGGGTTATGTCACATCTTTAATAAAGGTTATGATAACTTAAAATAAGAATTATTTTAATTATTTTTCTAAAATGTGTAATAAATAAAGAATGAAAGATAACTTCGTTAATAATTTATTCACCTATTGATTTTAATCGATTTGAAGCTTGGGTTTATTAATAATAAATATCAATTTACGTGTTATCTATTTTACAAATTCTTTTTTTGCATGTATTATTAGTTTGTAAGCTTCTTTATATGAAGTTCGTTTTGTTTTTAGTAGTATTAAAATGATAAATCTTTTTAAAAATTACATATCATAGGAATCCACAAAAATTAACTAATCATATGAATGTTGTCCTATGATATTTACTGTAAAACCTCAATAAGTGCAATGCTCTTTAGACAAAGCTTTAACAACGTTTACTTGAGATTAATAAAAGAAAGTGCATTTGATATTTAAAATTCTAAATAAGCAAAGCTAACCCATAGACCAAATAAGTAGCCCATATGTGCATATTATACTAAAAAGAGTATAGTGCAGGATAATCGTGTAAATAGAATAATTATTAATTACTTAAATGCACTATTTGTTAGTTTGACTATTTATCAACAAGGCTGTGAAATAAATCATGTAACTAATTTGAGTAAGGGTAATAACAATGACCAAAAATTAATGCACCTCTTCATATAGTAATTATCATTTCTTGCATTTTTCACTAAGCATCAAAATGCGATCTGATCTATTAACTATAATAGATGAAAAGAGTGAATACATAAATAAAAATAGCAATAATTAAATACACCTCTTTATATAATAATTATCATTTTCCTTAACTGCTAAGCATCGTCAAAATACGATTTAGTCTATTAACTGTAATAAATAAAAAGAATGAATGCATAAAAAAAAAATAGCAATAATTAAATGCATCTCTTCTTAATAATTTTCATTTAACTTAGCTTGCATTTTTCGTTAAGTGTTGTTGAAATATGATTTGATCTATTAACTATAATAAATGAAAAGAATGAATGAATGCATAAATAAAAATAGCAATAATTAAATGCACTTCTTCATATAATAATTATCATTTTTCTTAACTGCTAAGCATCATCGAAATACGATTTAGTCTATTAACTATAATAAATAAAAAGAATGAATGCATAAATAAAAATAGCAATAATTAAATGCATCTCTTCATAATAATTTTCATTTAACTTAGCTTGCATTTTTTGTTAAGCGTTGTCGAAATGCGATTTGATCTATTAACTATAATAAATGAAAAGAATGAATGCATAAATAAAAATAACAATAATTAAATGTATCTCTTCAGAATAATTATTATTTATCTTAGTTGTATTTTTCGCTAAGCATCATCAAAATGCAATTTGATCTATTAACTATAATAAATGAAAGAATGAATGTATAAATAAAATAATTAATTAAATGCATCTCTTCATGGCCTGTATTTTTTGCTTGTTTAAAGTAGTTAAAAATTCAAATGAAAGAACAAATATATAAGTAAAAAAAGCAATAATCAGGGTTCAGCGGCTTCTTTGAAATATTCGCCTTGGCTTGCATTCGTTATGTTATTAAACTAGAAATTATCAAATAATAATTTTGTTAATTTAATAAATAAAAGAATAAATATGTAGATAAAATGGCAGTAATCAGGATTCAGCATCTTTGAAGTATTTGCATTCATTACGTTATTAAACTAGAAATTATCAAAATAACTTCATCAATTGATTCTAATAAATAAAAGAACAAACATATAGGTAAAAATGACAGTAATCAGGTTTCAGAGCCTTTGAAATATTATTAACTTAGCTTGCATTCGTTATGTTATTAAACTAGACACCATCAAATTTTAATTTCAACACTACATTAATTAAAGGTTGAAATGTATATAAGCACTGGAGTTTGGACCTTCAAGAAACTCCAGAATAATCTTTGTATAATCGATTACTATAATTCTTCTCTTCATTAATAAATCATCAAATCTATATAATCGATCACCATAATTCTTAAATCATCAAATTTATATAAATTTTTCTTGTAACAAATGGATCCCCAATTTGGCATTGATAATACTTGTACAGGCTGTGGTCAATCTCACCCAATTGAGTCCTTTTTGAAAAATAGCAAAGTTCAAAAAACATGTTTATCTTGTAGAGATAAAAAAAATAGACAAAATGCACAAAAACGCGCAGCCATAGATGCATTGGCAAATGCAAGCATCAATTGCATTACGATGCAAGATTTTTTCAGAATTTTGAAAGCTATGAAAGGTCAAACCATAGAAGACCTTAAGCAAATTGTTGACATTAGTAGATATATGGCTCCAATTGATCCAAAGGAAGTAGCATCATATATTTCAGATAACATCCTTACGGCTATAAATTTTAAATTCAAGTAAGTATAATATAAATAAAATATGATTAGTTATAAGAACTATTTGTTTAGTATAAAGAGTGCAGACTTTTAAATCATACAAGTAAACACTAACTTTTATAAAGTTATAAAGACAGCCCTTCATAGAAATCAGATCATCTTGTAATCTTTAGATATCATTGTGCCCAATTGCTCGACCAGCAAAAAAAATCTAAAAAACACAAAGATCCCACAAAGCACAGAGATCACTTATCAATGCAATGGTTCCATTGCAGGGGTTGGTTAACACTCACTATTGATCTACAAAAATTTCAAGTTACAATTGAGTTAACTCATGAATATCACGCTGAATATGTTGATATACACATCATGAATGAAATAAAAGAATATATTCAAACAAATCTTCAACAAACACCTCGAAATATTTGGGAAAATCTTGGTACAAGAAGCATAAATATTACTGAAAAGCAGATATACTATTGGTGGATGACTCTCAGTCAGCATATCTGGAAAAAAGATGAAAATCAAATACAATCAGCGATTAAAATCATTAAACAATATGATGATATTGAAATATTACTAACCATTGAAGATAGTGGAGTTACCATGATTAGCTTTGGGGTCAAGGAAATTATTAATCGACTAGGTGTAAATGCAGTTGAGATTGGCATAGATGCAACGTGTATGTATTAATATCAGTGTTGCTGGTTAAATCTTCTTTCAAGCTCAAAACATTTGCCCTTTTGAAATTATATATCAAAGAGTTACTTGTCCAAAATTACATTCATACAAAATTTTCCATAACTTCCTTATCAAAAATTTGAATTGCTAAGTTTTGTCCGTCTAAAAAATTTGAATTAACCTGCAACACTAAATAATATAGTTAAAAAAAATTCTAATAAACCCTATTAACAATTAATTTTTTTTTTAAAAAAAAATATACTTTATAATTTAGATAACACTAATAAAATGAATCTTGAATTATATTTAGTACTTGCCGAAGTGGACGGAATGGGGTTTCCATTAGCCTATATGTTGCTAACCACAGCTACTGCAATTATTGATAGCATTTGTACTAAGATGATCACTCTCTTTTTTGATAAGTTATATCACATAGGAATTAACTCAACCTTTGTTATGACTGATAAAGATTCTGCACAAATCTTAGCAGTAAAAACGATATGGCCAGATGCTTACATTCAACTTTGCTTATGGCATCTAAAGAGAGCAATAAAAAGGCAATTGGGATTAAAAAAACAACCAAAAACAACTCGATATCATGGAAATTCAGCAAATGCTGAATTTCCATTTATTAATGTTAATTTTTGTTCTGATTTTACATCGCAACAATCTATAGTACAGGAAAATTTTGACTCTGACAATAATGAAAGTAATTATTCCAATATGTTGCAAAGTAAAAAAATTATATTTACCTTTTGCCCTCCAGAACATCATAACTATATTATCAATCTTGTAACAAAACATTTTAATCAACATCCTTATATTCCTGCAAATGATATGCAGTATTATTTACCTAACCAAATTCATGAAGTTGCCGTTAGGGAAATATATACATACTGCAAAGACAATGATCTTAAATGGGTATGGTTGTATTTATGGGTGAAGTGATATAGTTCATCGAAATGGCCTACCTGGACACGGAGTGCAAAAAAAGAAATTTCTGTATTAAAGACAACTATGATTGTGGAGTCACACTAAAGACTTATTAAACATAATTATATTAATAAGTTTAATAAACCATGCATTGACTTATTAGTGTAGATTCTTGTTGAATGTCTTCTTCCATGTTATATTATTAAGATGCAGGATCTTGAATCAAATTCCAAGACAAGAACTATTGCATTATGGTGCCCTGTTTTTAAACACGATTGAAAAACATGTGCAAAAAAAGCATTAGGTAGTAATTCGTATGCCACTGATCCGAAAACGTGAATCTGCTCATGCCCGGCTTACCTTGATAGTTGTTTTCTTCTCTGTAAGCATTTGGTGCAATCTGTTTGTCTAATAAAATCCAACTTCTTTAATGAAGTTAAACGTTACAGATCTCTACCTTTCTGAAGACATAAAAATCTAATTTCATTGGTACAAGGTTTAGGGCCAGTAGAAGTAGATGAAACATATGAGCTAGAAGACGAACTCAATACAAATATGTCAGTTGAAAATGAATTTAATGATGAAACTGACAAAGATCCTGTAAAACAATTAAATAACGAAATCAATGATGAACTTGTAGAGGCACTTCAAGAATATGAAGGTGAGAATGAGGATTTTTTTGAGGAATTTAGTGAGACGTAGGAGGAAGTTAACAACCGTGTCACTGAAAAGCTTCAAAAATGGACCGATCTGCTTAAGAGTCAAGAGCAGTATAAAGATCCATGGTTTTTAGTAGTAGCAGAAGAGGCTATAAACAGAATAGAAAAAATGTTAGCAAAGTGTGAAGCATTAAAGAATAGAAAAAAATTACCAAGAATGTAGAAAGATTGTAATAAGCAAACAATGTTTTATAAATTTTAATTTTACACTTGTTATGTAACTTTACTATTACTTCTCTATTTGTGTAAGTCTTATAGTTATAATTAATAAATATAATATTGTATCAAAGTAAAAAAATTAATTCAAATGAAAGAAAAAAATAAAATATGAGTGTAGTCTTTGCAAATTTTTGAAAATCTTAGAAAAAAATCGAATTTTTTAGATTTTGATTTGATTGGTCAAATACAAATCATTGATAAGATATTACACGAACATAGGATGATCATCATGTGAGGAGAAAATTTCCTAGGGGTATATTACATAAAGAAGCTTGCAAACTAATAATACACGCAAAAAAAGAATTTGTAAAATAGATAACGTGTAAATTGATATTTATTATTAATAAACACAAGCTTCAAATCGATTAAAATCAATAGGTGAATAAATTATTAATGAAGTTATCTTTCATTCTTTATTTATTACACATTTTAGAAAAGTAATTGAAATAATTCTTATTTTAAGTTATCATGACCTTTATTTTTTTTTTTTTTTTAAGTTAAAGTCTCTATCTTGGGAGTTGCGATGTTTTTATTCAAGTATATTAGGACACAGCA